ATATAAAATAAGAATACAAACCTGTCATTTGTATAGAATATGTCACGGGTAGTAACAAAAAAATTTATGTAAACAGTATTGTTTCATTTTTTTGTTTGTTGAATTATTTATTCTATTCGTCTTTTTTTTTTTGTAGTTAATTTTGTGTACGTCATCCATGCGATGACTGAAAATGACATTGAATATTACTCAAGGAAAGAAAAAACAACAGATGAAATATATGCAATAATCAATTAATAAGTTTTCTCATACACAAAAGAATAATTAAAGAAATAAGTTCTATTTTTGAATGAACAAAAATCTTTTTTGAAATGAATTGTTTTTTAGAGAACTTTTTGTTTGATATAATCTATCGATTGTACAATAACTGAATAGTTGTTTATGAGACATAAAAACACTTGAATTATGTCTGCCATTCGCCGATCAAATAAATATTTTGATTTTGTTTTTAAAACTCGAAAAAAAGCAGATTTTCATCCATTAAATTTCGAATAGAAAGAAAAATAAAATTGTTTACTAATGATATTCTTTTATTAATCTACTCATTGAAACATTCTACACACTCAATAACAAGGCCATAATAGTTTGTGAAAGTAAAAGGAATTATACGAAATATTTATTAAAACTTTGGTTAAAATCTTTAGCGAATAAAGTCCATCTAATAGTTACAATGGAATTATCTTATTTTAATATTTTTAGAAAAAAAATATTAGAGATATCATTATTTGTACTCTTTTTAAAAGCAAAAAAAAAGAAATGTATGCGTATGTGAATCATGTTAGTTTTAGTGGAGGAAAGAAAAAAAAGAATGGTGCCGTGACCCGGGATCGAACCAGGGACCTTCAGATCTTCAGTCTGACGCTCTCCCAACTGAGCTATCCCGGCGATATGTAATGAATTTAGATTTCAAACAGATGATTGAATTATTAAAAAATCAGCAGCATATTACTATCTTAATATAATAATTGTTTATAACTATTTACCAAAATCATTCTCTACGTTCCATATTCACGTACTGTTATAATATTTGTATAAATAATTTTTGAAAAGTATGAACTTTTTTCATTACTATCACGTTTCTCCTAGAAAGATCAGTTAGTTAAATAATCTTTCTGAAACTGATCCATAATTTTAGAAAAGGTTCGTTAATTAGATCATGTACAACAAACTATATTCTTGTACTTTCTATTATTATTATTATTATGATGAGTTAAAATTAGAAGAAAAGATTAAAAAAATATTTTTTCATGAAACGTTTTTTTTCTTCAAACTTTAATTCTAATCTGTTTATTGGACTTATGAATGAATGAATGAAAATACCATACTAGTTCTTGTCAACAGCAAAAAAACAAACATTCAAATATAGACAAAATTAAATTCTAATAATGTTTATTTAACAAATACTTGCATACCATCAAAATAGAACAAAAACGAATCTTTCTCTTTTTTTCTAGATGATTTATTTTCAAAAAAACAGTATTACATTCCTTTCTTAATGCATACGAAGCCAACTAAATATGAAAATATTATTTATCATTCTCGATCTTCTTTCTCTACGTTCGTACTTAAAATTATAAAAATAGAATCGATTTATCAGTAGTACATTTAACATTCTATAAGTTCGTTTAAAATCTTTCATACAAACTATTGTGATTTATCATCATACAAGATAAGTACGTAATAAAATGTCTTTATGATACAATATATTTTTAATCCAACCGAAATATTTTATTAAACTAGCGCCATCTTAAATTTCTCGTATATATATTAGATAAAAAAACAAAGGAAATTCTTTCTTTCTTTATCTAATGAAATCTAATCTTGAAAAACTAATATTTACGATAGAATAAATTTTTTAATGATTGAAGTTTATTGCTTAGGTATCAACTAGCTTAATGGTATTAAATCGACGAATCATTTGTTAATTCGTCTGAACGAACAAAGAACGTCTGTAGGACAAAAGAATAAAAAACGCAGACGAATAATTGTTTTTTTTAAGGTTCTTTTTCGATTTAAATTACTTCAGATCATTGAAATACATTGTAAATAATTCTTCTGACCTTGGTTTATTTTTTCTTCTTTTGTCTTCGGGAAAATGTTACCAATGTCATCTTCAAATTCTCATTCACATATTGAACCAAGTTGGAAAACATATTATGATGCGAAGAAATTACTTCGTCAAACTGAACAACGTTTAAAAGATGCTCGAGAATATTATCCACATGTTCATTTAAATAATAATAATCATTATGAAAATAATGATTTATCAAATTTATCATCAACATCCTATTTACATCATAATGATACATCATTAATTCATGCTGGAAATCGTTCAATGTTAAATGATGAAAGAACAAACAATAATAAACATCAATTACTTGATTCAGAAGCTTTATTAACAATTCGTAGGAAAATTAGTAAACAAAAAATAGCAGCAGGTAAAATAGAATTCTTATATATTTACATGACTTAAATCATACGAGTCTATAGCTCAATGTTTTCTATACATATTCCAACTGAAATTAATCTAGTAGAAAAACTCGTTAATTATCATAAGATTGAACTTTGATAATATTACTAATATCATATGTGTTATTTTATTCGATGTAATTTGAATATAAGTAAATACTCTATTCATACGTATGTAATATGATCAGTTAAATGTACTTGTTAGTTTACTACTATGTAATGAAACTCTACTTTAAATATAGTATGTTAAGCAAATTTCTTAGTAAGAATAAGTCTATATAAATAAATTAAGTACATAACACTTATAACTAAATAATAATAAAGAAACACTTGACAATTCTTGTTCATAGAATGATATATGAACGGATTCTTAATATCACTTGTAAGATTACATATATATTATTATGATTATAATACTGTAAGGAATTTTAATAGTCTTAGTTGAGATTTCTGCAATAAGTAAATCATTTTTGATCAACAAAATTTTATCTGTGTAGAACGTCGTGCTGAACAATTATTTCATTCGCAATCTGACGCTGGTCATATGTTTGAAACATATCGTCCTCATAGTACATATTCTACTTCAGCTAGTCTACAAAATCTTCATTATTCTCCACATCGTCAACAACGTTTATCACCTCCTAAACCACAACCACCAATATCATATTCATCACATCTTTCACAATCCCAATCATTTCCATCGGAACTTGATACTGTTCTTCAACATTCAACAAGTGCAAGAATTTTACATAGAGAAAATGATTTTGAACGACAATCATTTCATCAACCAACAACACGTAAATCAATTAGAACTATGCCAAGTAAATTTAATATATATATACATTTCGTCTATTAATATTTTATCTTTAGGAGAAAATTATTCATTATCTAATGGTCGAACAACTCAACAGAGAAGTGCTAGTGCTTCAAATAGTGGTACAACAAAATGTAAATTTTCATATTGAATTATATTATTTTATTTATAATTTTTTTTTGTTTTATATTAGATCAAGATATTTCATCATCTCATTTTTTAACAGCAAATGATGGTCCACGATTAAAACATGTTCGTCGTGTTGAATCAGCTCATGTTTCCTCAAGTTCAGCAGTTAAAAATAGTAAAAATCTTTTTCTTCATTTTATTCTTTTATAAAATGAATTCATCTGTAGGTTTAATAACACCTGATTCATGGCGAACAGATCCAATTATTACAAAAAAATCTTCGTCAACATCTCAACAAGAAAAATCATCCAAGAAAAAAACATCAAATGAAATTCTTGTCAAACGAACAAAAACAGATATTGAAGAAACATTAGGTCAAAATAATCAACGAACAGAAAAAATTATCAAACCAAAACGTGATACAAGTATGTATTTCGATTCATTTAGCTTTTTCCATGATTAATTTTATTTTCTCTAGGTGCTTCGAAAACGTCAGTTCTTACAGCAGAAAAAACACCATCAAAACGTATGTTATTATCTTGTTTGTTTCGTCGAATAACTTTATTTTTTTCTAGCAAAATCAGATGATGATAAGAGAAAACTTCAAGATTATATACAACAAAAACGTCAACATGAAGAAATGTTTTCAAATGAAAAACGTTTGAAAGATGAACAAGAAAGAATACGAAGAGATAAATTTAAGAAATTTAATGAACAAATTAAAGAAACTTCACATCAACATTTACCTTCATCGGTAACAAAACGAACGTCAACATTTACACCTGTTCGTGTTATTTTTATTTAAATATTATTTATTTATTTTTCTTTTGTATTTATCAGACTACACCAAAAGAATTAACGGAACAAACACGTCAACGTCTACTTCGTGTTCTTGGACCAGCAACAGATTATCATATTAATAGTCCATTGGAACAACCATCATTTCTCGAACGTTCATCATCATCATCATCGTCATCTTCAAATGAATCGGTCATTGAAGTTCAACCAGTTAAATCGTAAGTATTTATACCTTTAAAAAGAACAACTGGTACAATTTTTTTGTCTTTCTCCTGCAGAAATGATCATTCAAATATGCGATCTCGTTCAGAACCACCTGCTCAAAATGGTAATATATCAAAAAATAATAATAGGAATAGTCTAAAATATATGCTTCTCTTTCAATTAGGTACTACGAGTAAGAATGCACAACGTCATGAAAATTTACTTCGATGGGCTGTTGATTTAACAAGAGATTGTGATGTTGTGGAAAATAGATTTAAATATTTACGACCAGGTAAAAATAAAAAATAAGTTAAGCTAGTTATTAAGATTATGTTGTCAAAGTTATATTTAGAATTTCATATGAAAGTATTATATAACCTTTTATCACTTATTTCATGATGAGTCTATGTAAAAACAGAACTCTTATACTAAAACAAAATTTTCTTTATTCTTATTTCAAATATTAGGGTGTGGGTGTGAGTGTTGGTGTGGAAGAAGAGTAGTCCATACCTATACATTTACACTTACATTCACCCGCACCCACACCCACACCCTCTCATAAAGTTAAACGCTTTTTCATGTACAATATTCATCTAGCGCTCATTGTCACTTCTCTTCATCTATATTATTACCATTGAGAAAAGAAACAAATCAGTAATTACTAATTTCGAAAATAATACTTCTCTAGTGTTTAAACGTCATGACATTTTCTTATAAATCATAAATATCCTTTAGATCGTATACTACCATTTGGTACTATTCCTGCTTCATATAAACATCTTCAGCAGGATGATGGAAATATACGTAATCAAACATCACATTATGATACAAATCATTCAGAAACAAATAAATCTTCTAATATATCACGTTTATCTCGAGGTTTAAATTCCAATCGTTTAAATGATTATTCAAATCATCAAGTTTCCAATGATTTATCATCAGACAGACGTATTCATCGTGATCGTGCTGCTGCGAAAATTCAAGCAGCATATCGAGGCTATACAGTACGAAAATCATTACCATGGTTAAATGATAAACCAAATCATTATTTAGAAAATGCATCTATTAATATCAATATACATTTAACTAAGAATAATTATCCTGTTGATTCAACACTACTACGTTATTATGAAAGTACGATCAAAAATTTTCTAATGATTCTTCGTTGATATCATGTTTTTTTATTTAATTTAGATCAACCCATAAATGATTATCAACAACAATCTATTAAAAAAGCATCAATATTACCATTATATTCAGATGATTATGATAATGTTCCAAATTCATTATCATCAAATTTATCAACTCCAATTAATCATATAAGAAGACCACCAAGCATAACTTCTTCAACATCAACAACTCCAATACCTTCACCAGAACCTCAAGTACCATCTCAAAATGAACGTCGTCGATCAATTTCACCACCGCTACCACCACAAATGTCTCCAGACAATGGCCGTCCACTTCATCAATTAATTCAACCAATTTTTCAACGTATCAATGATGAAAATCTAGAACAAACAGATTCAATGTCACGCGTACAAGTAATTAAGAATATGACATATTTACTTATAGTACATTTGTATATATTCATTTCTTTTTTTTTAATAATAGAATCTTTCTAATAATACATTGCCACAACAACCAATAGCAAAGTAAATAATTTCTTTTATAGTTTCCTTATCTATTTTTGTTTGAATTAAAAGATCTCCTATTCGTCAACCATTATTATCATCATCAACATCAACAAATCGAAAACGTCGATCATTATCACCACAACCACAGCCACAGCCACAGCCACAACAACAACTAATAACAAATACACATTCACGTCCTCGCACTACTCTAACTTCAAGTCCTCCAACATCATCATCAGAATCGTAAGAATTTTTATATAAGATATTGCTTTTTCATCGCACACTATTTATCCGTATAAGTATAAGATTGACAAAGAATACAGTAGTTTATATTAATCCCTGGTTAGATATCAATATTTTATTTTTATTTTTTTTCTTTATTTCAATTATGGCATTTTTTTAAAAGCATTACAATTAATCAAGTGCACGTAAATATCGAGGTAAATTCAGATTAGTATGAAGGTTCAATTTTGATCGTTTGGCATTTTTTTGATGATTAATCAGTTGACGAATAAAACTATCATCATAAATGGATGGTATTGACGGTTGATAATTTATTGCACGAGGTCGTTCAACACGATTACTGTTTTCATTTTCATTGTTTAATAAACCATTTGCGTCCAAATAAGCCAAAACATCTTCATCATATAAATTTGGATGATGAGGTATTAAACCACCATGTACTATTAAACATAAAGACATGTTAAAGATAAGAAATAATGTAATAGTATGACGATGTAAACTAATCATAGTTAATAGTACTACTCTGTATGTTCAACTTTCTTCAAATGAACTTTTTACTTAGATAGTTGTCTCTATATAAAGGCAAGTTTGTGTAGGTGGAAAAAAATATCGTCTCTAAAAAAAAGAGAGAGAGAGAGAAAGTTTTTGTGTTAAACCATAGAAATGGATAGAAGTCCCCAGAGACCCTTGTAAAAGAAAGAAATACACTTTAATTTGATGGACTGAACAATTTATATAATTAATATTATCAATGTATATCTCCTTTATTTTAGGATTTTAACAGCACGTGAAAAACGTGTACGACAAAAATTTAATAGTGATATTGAATTACAAGCGTATGAAAAACGTCTTAAAGATATCGAGAAAAAAATTCGTCAACTCGTCAAACGTGGTACGTGTATTTTTCTTTTTCATAGAATTAATTATTTTTTTATAACCTTGCAAAAGTCAGCAACGTTGTCGTTCTTCAATAGAAAAATAGTCTATAAACAAATTAGTATATCATGCATCTGTTGTTTTGAAAATGAAAGTAATATCATATACAAAGGATTCATTTTTCTTATCATGCAGACTTAGATATACACGTTTGAAAAGAATAAGGCTATATTCAGAACAATTTTGAAGGATTCTATTTTATATATGTATTTGCAATTGAGTAGTTAAAATACTATTTTTAGATTGTGTAATAACTATATTTCATACAAGGTGCTAATTTTCATTTTAACAAAGTATTTTGATAAGCATCAATGATTTTGACGTCATAAGAAACTAATATTATTCTGTCTAGGAAAAATGAATCAATTTCATCGATGTCTTGAATAGTTTACATTAGTTAAATTGATTTTTAAAAACTTCAATGTATAGTTTTACATGAAATATCATACTCAACATATTTTTTGAATACTGTAACATTTCGTACAATACATTTCTAAACTCTTAACGTAACGAGAGTACTCACAATAATTATTACGTATGAATCAATTCTCTAGATGATATATAAACGTGTCACTATACACTTACTACAAAATTATTCAGTAAACAGCTATACAGTGGAAATTGAATATGCACTGTCAAGAAAATATCGGGGCAGGACGGTTTGTCCTTTTTTTAATCGGCTGAATAACTGATGTTTTATTTGGTTGACAAGGAGTTATACTCAAATATATTATATATTTTTAATATTTTAAAAAATAGCAATATGAATTTTGGCTGAGAGGATAATTCAAGTCCAATATTGGATATCTTTGTAAAGGCTATAAAGAGTGATACAGTATCTTCTAAAGAAAGTTACTTTTAAATAAATAGACTTTGTTGTCGATGTATCTATTCATGATCCAGTTCATGTGTTTCTTCCTTTTTTCCTGATTTTACATACAGAGAGTGAAACATGATATAATATATACTATTAATTTGAGATATACGAGATTGATTCTTTAAGAAAAAGCGTCAAATTAAATTTCCTCTGTTGACAATCGTATTATATATTGATAGAATTAATTAACATAGGAGAACTTATGAATCTTAAATAATTTTGCTAGAAAAACTATTCCTAGATGCTACCTATATTTATTAGGATTAAAGAATCGCTTAGTGCATGAAAGACAAGATTGAGTACCTGGATTTAAATGTCAACAAGTTTACTCTTGATATTCATCTATACATATTTTTCATCTAACTATTTAGCATTTGAAATATTTGATGAAAATCGAAGTGTTTCAAGTCCACCAACAGTTGCACGTACAGTTAAACCAGATATTCGAACTAAACCATCAAATCTTTCTCAAGATGAATTAAGTATTAATGAAGACCCATCAATTCATCAAAAAGATACAGAACTGTAAAATTCGAAATTATTTCTTTCTATCATTGTATTTATTTTTGTTTAGAACTAAAAAAGATAATGATACATCATCAAGTTCAAATCAACAAAGACAATCAGGTAGATTTATAAAATTTACTCTTTTTTTATATACATATTTATTTAAAGATGTTGTTACATCTGATGCAAGTGATCTTGAATGTCGTGTACGTGCTTATCGTGAACAATTAAAAGCGAAAAAACTTGAACTTGAAAGATTAAAACAACGTAAAAATAAAGAAATTTTACGAAGACAAGAAGATGAATTAAAAAAACAAATCGAAGTAAATAATTTCTAATTAAAAATCAAAATATAAATTATTATGTTTAGTCCTATGATCATGAAATTCAAACATTACGTCTTCAACCAGTTCAACAGGAACAAACAGTACCGGTTCCATCATCATCATCATCATCATCATCTAGTAGTTCTTCAATACAAAGAAGCAAATCTAACGAGAAAAAAAATCTTTCTCATAATAACGAAGATAAAGAAGTAGATTTAAGACTTTTACAAACACCACGTGATGAACGTGATACACAACATGATGCTCTATCAATACCAATCGATCTAAAACAAGATTATGATAGTCGACGAACAAGTATTGAGAGCACAAAGTAAGAATTTAGTTTCAAAAATCATGTTTTTCTAGTCTTTTAATAACTTGTGACAACAGATGGTAAACGAAAGTTTTTTAAATAGATAAACTTCATGATTATTTTATATTAATCGTAATACAGATGTCAACAGTTTTTAATAATAGTATAATATTGTATGTAAATATCATACATATTATAGAGCATATTTTAGATAATTAGTTGTATTTAAATGTATAAGAAACTTCGACGTAATTTCGAAATATTTAAAAATAGATTTTGTTTTTCTTCTTATTTAGTTTATTATGGTCATCTGACTTTTTCTAGAGCAATTGATGACGTTAATGTGTAAATTTAGAAACGTAAAAAAACACAATTAAAAAAGATGTTGAACATAAATATCATTGAATGAAGTTATCAGTCTATAACAAGAACTATTTTAGAATTAAAGGATGCAGGAGTAATTTATGTAATATTTGACATATCTTCTCCGTAGTTTATATATGAATGTTTTTGAAATTTTATCAAATCAGTAAATAATTCAATCATATCAATATCCACTAAAAATATTGTCACTGAGTACATGAAAACAAAATTGTGTCATAATAATGTATTTTTCAGTACTTCCTATTGCTTCTTTTTCTAGGCACTTGTGTTGCACATAGAAATCGCCTGATTAGCTCGACCGTCTACCATATATGTATGGCTTGATTAAACCCCTCGTTCTCTTTTGAAATTACCCTCGAACTCTGCATTTTTATTAGTGTATGACCTATTCTTCCGAGTATAAAAGTAATAAACGAAAATACAATATAGTCGGTGTTTTTAATATTCGAAATAAATATACATATATATTCAATCTTAAGTGGCGCTTATAATATCAGAAGTTGTCACAGATAATTAATTGATTCTATTATTCGATTTATTTAGAGCACCACTAGATTTAAATACAAATCTTCCTGTATCATCCAAAGAAGAAGAAGAAGAGTCCGTATCATCATCATTATCATCATCGTCAAAGTCAAGTGAAAAGCCTATCAAATTACCTTCACCACAAATATCTAAATCTCCTTCTCCTTCTCCATCACCATCGGAGTCAAGTCAAACAACTTCATCATCAAAACAAGAACGAAGTAAATCACCTTCACCACCACCACCACCGCTAGCGTCATCTGAACCAATTAAATCTATTTCTGTAGTAACAGAAAACCGTGCTAAATCACCTACATCACCAGCTCCATCTGAATCAAGTACATCAAGTTATTCATCAGTACCTGATCGTCTTAAATCACCTACACCACCACCAACATCATCGCAACCAATTCAATCAACACAAGAACGTATCAAATCTCCTTCACCACCATTGTCTCAATCAATTAAATCCACCTCTTCATTAATTCAAGAACGCATTAAATCACCATCATTATCTGAATCAAGTTCTTCATCATTAGACAAATACATTAAACCATCAGATTTAACTGAGCCAGTTAGATCAACTTCATCATCTGAATCAAGTTTTTCATCATTAGACAAAAATATTAAATCATCAGTACCACCTGAGCCAATTCAATCTACTGCATCAGTACAAGAACGCATTAAATCATCATCATCTTCTGAATCAAGTTCTTCATCAGTAGACAAAAATATTAAACCATCTGAACCAATTAAATCGACTTCTTCATCAATACAAGAACGTATTAAATCGCCATCATCATCATCGTCTGAATCAAGTTCTTCATCAATAGACAAGCACTTTAAATCACCAGTACCACCTCAACCAATTCAATCTACTTCATCAGTACAAGAACGTATTACATCCCTGTCATTATCATCATCTGAATCTACTTCTGTATCAATACAGAACCATATTAAATCACCTTCATCAGCAGCACCATCTGAACGAATTCAATCTATTTCTTCATCAACACAACCACACGTCAAATCACCTTCACCACCAGTATTAGAATCAATTAAATCTCCATCAATACATGAACAAACTCCAATTCCAATAATTCCACGAAAACGATCTCATACTTCATCAACAAATAATGACTATGATGAAGATTTTTCTGAAACTAGTCATTCCCAAATTGAAACATCAGGAAAAATAAAAATTGATGATATTGATATTGAATCAATTGAAGAAGATATTGATGTTAAACATTCAACACATGATACAAATCATAGTTCAACATCGAAATCAAGTGGTGATGAACAATCAGAAATACTTGTTCTTGTTAAAAAATCAGCTAATAATACTCCGAGAGAACCAGATCAATCAAATTTACCAAATGAAATATTTCCATCATCTCCACGTTTACAAAAAATTGAAACAGATGATACATCACATGATATAAGTGAAGTTGATGATGGTAATCAATATATTGAACAACAGAAGAAAGCTGATATATTAACAGAAACATTAATTAAAGTATTTATTGAAGAAGCTATTCAACAAGGAAAAGAAATTGTTTATAGAAAAAGTCAAAATTCATTTACAAAAGAAGTTAGTGAATGGTTATCGGATGAAGATTTAACTGATGAAGAAAATAATAATAAACAAATACCTAATAATCATGACGAAGATGTCGAGTAAGAAATAATAATGATAAAATAATTCCATAATCTTGTTTATTTATTTTAAGTAATGTTATACAAACATTAGCAATTCAACAAGAATTCTTAGAACAACTTGATGCAGCAGCAAATGGAAATCATGAAAATGTAAAGAAATTTAATTTTTCTACAAGCTTCTAATTTGCTCTTTATTTTAGGACGAACTTAATCTTGATCTTAGTCATCTTGAAGATAAAAATCGTAAGTATTTCATATAACTGATTATTCCTATTGAATTATATCTCAGCATAGAGTTATTTGATCAAGAACTGCAGATCACTATTCACATGCGAAATCTTTTTTTCTTACTAGAAATATTTGAAACATGAAGTTATACTATTTCGAATAGACCTCAAGAGTCATATTTTGTCCATGAGTAACGACACTCAGTGGCGGATTTAGGGGGAGCGATCGCCCCCCTCCTTCAGAAATTTTTTACAGCAAAAATGAACGAAAAAATAGGTTTACACTACTTCGACTGGACTCAAAAAATAGATTTTAGCCAAAATCCTAGATCCGCCACTGCAGTAAAATCTAAATTGATCTCTACTTCAAATCTATTTAAACGTTAGAATTCTGTATCATATTCTTCATATCTATGCTCAATACATGCATCAAATCCTCTACTAATATTTATATACTTCCTTCGGAATCCATCAAGTTCATCAATTACTTTGAGTTCAATACTTTATTAAAATTTAAAGAAGTTACTAACGTCATAGTATATATGATAATTAATTATCATACACCCTTTATTATCAGTATTCTCTATTTATCAGCTGCTTGTCATAAATATTAAGAATATATTTTTTTATGATTTTCCTTTATCAAAAAAATATCCATCCGTTACACAACTGTCACTTGATTAATCATATTTTTACATATCATAAGCTTTAATTATTCATAAATAATCTTTTCTAAAATTCTTTTAGCTGATGGATCACAAGTCGATAATTCGGCTAGACTTGCTATTGACATACCTATTAAACCTGTTGTTCCACATACATGTGAACAAGTTAGTCAACTATGTCATGAAGCTCTTACAATTCTATACAATCACAATACCGATTTCTCTGATCGTTCATCTATTGATCGAGCAATACCAGCTTCTTATTTTGCTATTGATTTTTCAACGAATCAAGATGAAGAAACTGAAAATGATGATATTCAACGTAGTCGTCATGCTTATAATCAAATGATATTTGATTTATGTGTTGAACTTTTACATGAAATGTATTCACCAAATATTCGCTTAACAAAATATCCTGAATGGCAAAAAACGAAATTAATATCCAAACGTTTTTATCGTTCAAATAAACCAAAAACTCGTGATGAAGCAGAAAATTTTATTGAAAAAAAAATATTTGAAATCTTAAATTTAATTCCACGACAAATTGTCTATTCAAAATGGCGTATGTTAATTGATCGACGTCATGGACATGAACAATTTGAAATGGTACTCGATGAAGAATTACGTCGAACTGAAAATTCATGGATTGATTATGATGATGATTGTATAAGAATTAAATTTGATATATCAGAACATATATTTGAGCAATTAATTCAAGAAACATTAGTAGACTGTATTGATGTTATTAATAAAAAATTATCATTGAGCAGTAATAGTACACGTCTTTAAAATAGTTTTTTTTCGACTAAAATTCTTATTGAAACTTATTGTGAGAGAGAGAGATGTTTATTTATTCTTGAGAAAAATATTTTTTTTTGTAAATTTTTTTGTTATGTACGTTGTTCATTTCGTTTCTTTGTCGTTTTCATGTAACAATTCATATTTTGCCCTTTTTGTTATTTTTGGTTGTTTTGATCTAGTACAGAATTCTGTGTGTGTGCGCGTGTGTGTGTAGGGATATATATTACTTTTTTTGGTGTATTTAAATGAATAGGACAATCGAAAAAATAATAAATTTATATGTATGAATTTTATTTGTTATTTGAATTATGCCTAATGTCTAAATAAGAATAATTCTATTGGCGCCTGAGAAAAATTTATTACTAATATTTTTTACAATTAGAAGTTGATTTTGTTTTTGTTTGATTATTAAATATAATCATGATTTTTTAAATATAATTCTCGCTACAATGATTAAATCAGAGAAAACAAGTATTAATAAAAAAGAATATAAATATCAAAGAAAAAAAGAATCTACAAATTTTGGTGAACGAAATATTCGACCAAGAAAACGTGTACTATCTGATAATTATTTATGTAAGATTGTAAATCGAATCTATTATAATTTATTTTATTTATATCATTATAAGATTGTGATAATTGTAACAAATATAATGATGGGTTATGTCCACGAGGATGTCAAACTTATGAAGCTAATCATAAAGTAAAAATACTCAGTTTATATACAGATTATTTTTCTATTGACTGATAAAATAGGCTAATCATGCAAAATATACTGTATCTAGTGGATTAAAAATTATGAAGTCGACTATTCCTGGTGCAGGATTAGGTGTATTTACTATGAAAGAATTTGCTAAAAATACATTTTTTGGACCTTATACTGGTGAACGACATCGATCAGCTGAACGAGCTAATCAATCTGGTTATGTCAGTAGTTACTATAAAGAAGAAGAATATTTGTTTATTTGTTGATTAATAGGCATGGACTATCGAAGATGATGCTGGAAGTGTTTATAATTATATAGATGCTAGTGATCCAGATCGAAGCAATTGGCTCAGGTAAAGTAAAAATATTCAATGTTAGAACTTTGAGATGTAATAATAAGATTTCTTAGGTATGTCAATTGTCCACTTGGACAAAATGATGAAAATTTAACGGCAATTCAGTTTAATGGTGAAGTCTATTATCGAACATTACGTGATATTAAAGCAGGCGAAGAAGTAAAATAATCTTTTATTAAATAATATACATTGTTTTATTGAGCCTTATTGTTTTTTTTTAGTTATTTGTTTATTATGGTGACGAGTAAGTCTTTTTTTCTTTTGAATTCATAATTATATTAATATGCTTTTTTCAAAGATATGCTAAAGCACTTGGACTTGATTCTTTTGACCATTCAATAGGTAAACTAATGATAAAATTTATTATATATTTTTAAGAATTTTTTAATTTGAAGAAAACCAAACAATCGTCCAGTCATTCCTAACACCACATTCTATTGTTTCATCAAAAACAGAACAAAAACAACAACAAACCACTTCTGCAAAAAAACAAAAAACTGTTAAGAGAGATACTATTGGATAATACTCGATAACTTTACAATCTAATTTATTGCATTTAAAAGCTCATATCTATTATCTTTTATATTAGATTTATGCTACACACATGTTTTAGGTATAATTATGTACATGATTAAGTTAATATATCATTTTTAAGCGTTTTTATTCTTTGATCTATAATAATCAAATTTCTAAGTTGTTTGATATTTTGAAGTCAGTGTATCGAAACTTTCCTATCATCATGCTTATAGAAATAATATAATGACTATGACTGTACATCAAAATTAAATAATAACATCAACAGGCTGAAAATTTATTGGATAAAAAATCTACTATCAACAATTTAAATAGCCATTTGCACCTTTATGAATGCAAAATAATTCCTTTTTTATTCAACAATAGTATTCAATGCTTAAATTATGAAAACGTTTCTTCATATTTCTGTGCTTTTTAAAAACTATTTTCAATAAAATTCTTCAATGATGTTGTACGAAACACTGCTTGTTTTAACAGAGAACAAAGAAGTTCCTTCGATCTTACTTTCATCGATACTGAATCTGCAGTTTTTTTTCATTCATTGGCATAAGGTTTAAAGCATGCTCGGTGCACAACATTTCATGATAAACTGCATACTTTCTACCTTTATAAGATTTTTAGGTTCTGTTTTTTTTGCGTTCTCTCGATAATGTTGTCAACAGATGTGTTTGCTTCGTTCTGTTTCTTGTTCTACACAATATTATTTTCGGAAGTAACCAGGTGAAATTTGTCCTTGAGTGAAAACGAAAAGTCGAGAAAAAACAAGACACTGTCTATATAAAGAAGAATGGTGATCTTTCTTTTCATTCAAACAACAACATCTACAGACAAGTTCCCTTTCAACCAAAAATTACAGCAAGATCAAAATGAGTGAATCAAATGAAAATGCTGCTGCATCATCAAATATTTGTCAGCCACGACAATGTATGGCACAAAACTACCTTCTCGTATGGGTAGATGGCAGCATTGATGAGACAAACAAGGACTGCCAAGATACACTGGCTCAATTGAAGAATGTGATCAACAACGTCAAAGTATGCACGCAACCGGATCAATGCATCCAAGTACTCAACCAATTTGATCGTGAAAGAGCCTTTGTTATAACATCAGGCTCATTTGGCCAACATTTAGTTCCTGAAATCCATGGCATGCCCAAATTAGATGCTATTTACATCTTCTGTGGCGACAAATCGAGACACCAAGGATGGACACAAAACTGGACAAAAATCAAAGGTGTCAGTACAAACGTCAAAGAAATTTGCCAAGCATTGCAATTTGCTGTTAAGCAACGCGACCAGAACTCAATTGCTATAAGCTTTCTCCGAGTAAATGAGATGGCTTCAACTGAAAATTTAAATCAGTTGGAGCCAACTTTTATGTATACCCAAATTTTGAAGGATAATCTTCTTGATATGCAACATGGCGAACAGGCCGTCAAACAATTTACTGCTTATTGTCGAAATAATTATTGCATGTCGTTAACCAATATTAATCGTTTTGAAAAAGAATACCGTGCTGAATTAGCTATTTGGTGGTATACTTTCCCATCCAATATATATTCTATGCTCAATTATGCTCTTCACTGTATGGATGTCGATATAATTATTAATATGGATTTTTTCATTCATGATCTTCATCAACAAATCCAACAACTACACCAACAACAGGCTCATACTTATCATGGCAAACCATTCATAGTTTAAAGGGGACAAGGTTTATCCAAAGCAAATTTCGAAAAACTCAAAAAATCAGAAGCTGGTTTAATATCTTTCAATAATTTTTTATCTACTAGCATCGAGCAAGACAAAGCTCTCGGACTTGCTTATAGCGCGTCAGAAAACGTGGATTTGATTGGAATTTTATTTATAATGTCTATTGATCCTTGTATAAAATCAGCACCATTTGCCTCCATAAAAGAGAAGAGTTATTTTGAGGAAGAAGATGAAATTCTCTTCTCAATGCACACCGTCTTTCGCGTGGGTGCAATTAAAGAAATCGACAATGAAAATCAACTTTATCAAGTTGAATTTCAATTAACTTCGAATGATGATCCACAACTACGATTACTTACTGATCGAATACGAGAAGAAGCTGTTGGTAAAACTGGATGGGTAAGATTGGCTAATTTATTGATTAAAATTGGTCAACCTAATAAAGCCGAAGAACTTTATAATGCATTATTCGAACAGACATCTAATGAGGGTCAAAAAGCGGCTTATTGCAATCAGTTGGGGTATCTCAAAGATGATCAGGGTGATTATGAAAAGGCTATTTCGTACTACGAAAAAGAACTTGAACTTCAACAGAAAAATCTTCCTCCAAATCATTTTTTGTTAGCCACTTCATATAACAACATCGCTAGTATGTATCACAAGATGGGAAACTATTCGAAAGCACTTTCATTTTTTAAAAACGATCTTGAAATTCAACAAAAAACTCTTCCATTGAACCATCCTCGTTTAGCTACTTCATACAACAACATCGGTAGTATGTATTACAAGATGGGAGAGTATTCGGCAGCACTCTCATTTTACGAAAGAGCACTTGAAATTCGACAGAAAACTCTTCCTGAAAATCATCCTGATTTAGCGACTTCATACAACAACATCGGCATGGTGTATCACAAGATCGAAGAGTACTCAAAAGCACTTTCATTTCATGAAAAAGCACTTGAAATTAAACAACAATCTCTACCTTCAAGTCATCCTGATTTTGCGACTTCATACAACAACATTGGTTTGGTGTATAACAAGATGGGAGAGTACTCGAAAGCGCTCTCGTTTCACGAGAAAGCACTTGAAATTTATCAAAAAACTCTTCCTTCAAATCATCCGGATTTGGCTAATTCATACGCTAACATCGGTAGTGTGTATAACAGCACAGCAGAGTTTTCTAAAGCACTTACGTTTTTTGGAAAAGAGCTTGAAATTCGACAAAAATCTCTTTCTCCAAATCATTCTGATTTAGCGACTTCATACAACAACATTGGTTTGGTGTATCACAAGATGGACGAGTACTCAAAAGCACCTCCATTTCACGAAAAAGCACTTGAAATTTGTCAAAAAAGTCTTCCTTTAAGTCATCCTGATTTAGTGACTTCATACGACAACATCGGTATAGTGCATCACAGGATGGGAGAGTTTTCTAAAGCACTTTCATTTTACGAAAAAGCACTTGAAATTCGACAGAAAACTCTCCGTTTAAACCATTCTGATTTTGCGACTTCGTACAATAACATCGGTAGTCTGTATGAGAGCACAGGAGAGTACTCGAAAGCACTTTCATCTCACGAAAAAGCACTTGAAATTTGTCAAAAAGCTGTTCCTTCGAATCATCTTCATTTGGCACAGTCATACAACAACATCGGCAGTGTGTATGACAGAATGGGAGAATACTCGAAAGCACTTCCTTCTCACGA